GAGAATGGAGAAAGGGGAATGGGGAATGAAAAAATAAAATTGGAAATTACATTTATAAAAATAATTTTTTTGTGGAAATTTTTTGTTTATTATACCACCAGTATATTTTCATGAACTAACAGGAGTAATAGGCTCTTGAAACTTACCTTTGCAAATAATTCTTAGAGGAACTGAAACTTGGTCATGACTACATTACCAAAATTCTTCACTGTGGAATTTCAATGTATTTTCTTTCTTTCCAAGCCGATTGTGCGTTTTGGGTGCCTCTGGATCCGATGGTGTTATTTCAACTCTTCTTACTTTTAAATGTATTTGCTTACTTGTGATACGAACTGAAAGTAAGATATCGATCCAAAGCAATCTCCATGCAGGTGTTGTGAATCAAACTTAGATGTTACTTTTTTTTTCTTTTCACACATCTGGGAGTTAAAAGAGTGGTAACCATAGTTATATGAAATGGACATCACTGTTCTTTCCGAGGTGCTGTCATTGAGTCACGTTCATTTTTCATATAATTGGATCATATTCTGCCATTAGCTCTAAAGCAGAGGGAGGGGACCTTTTAAAAAAATGATTACCAAATTTTTTTTATTGCAGCCTTAACCCCTTTATCCTAACGTAAGATTTCAATATTCTCCACACCGTTCTCTTTACATTTTTTAGTGGTACTGACAAGGAGAATTTGGTTGACAATCAAGAGCATCTTTAATTGGCGATCATCTCCTGTATTCTCACGAACTTTATATTTGATTCAGGGATGGTACCGTAAGGAGAAATTAGAAGTCAGTCACTCTTAGGTGTTATATGCGAGGAGAGTGTCGATCAAATCTATATCCAGAAATTCGCCAGAGCGTGCATTAAGATTATAAGAAACATTCAAATCAGTTAAAAACGTGGTCATATAATAAATGTGAGGACGACAGGAAACCGATAATTTGAGGTTAGGTTGTTGACAGAAAGATCGAGGAAGGAGGGATAAAGATCGTCTGTCAACAATTGAAAGGGTGATTCACTTATGCTCAAGAACCGCATGACCAACTCTAAAAGACCAAAACATTATAGAGACCCAATTAATGATAAAATAAGCGAACACAAGAAATAATGCTATTCTTTCATAACAGGAGCCCATCACTCGAGTGTTTATTCATGTATCTTCTGGCAACCTCTTTAGTTTAGTTCGCATGACAGTTGTCGCGCCATGGAGGGTTACGCAATAACGATCCGAGAAGAAGGCTCGGTTACCTATTAGCTCCTTTACCTGAATAGCCAATGGAAATTATTTGTTATTATTCAATGTATTTGTTAAGTGTCTAACGCCAAAAGGCAGAGGAAAGTTACACGAAATCGTAGGAGTTATCACAGTCACGTTTTAAATTTAATCATTTGCTTTTAATCTGTTAAGCTTTGACCCTGTGGAACATGACTTGAACCGGAAGGAAATACTGCTCGTATTCGTTCGATGGTTTGCAGATTGATTTCCGTTGAGGTTTTTTTTTTCGGGAAACGGTCACGCATCTCATAAACGCGACTCAAATATTTATATTTTTATTGAGATGATTGGATCCTGCAAGGAAATCTTGGTAAGTGATGAATCTTCTTATCTGAATACTGAACTTAGAGGGGGAGTCTTAGATCGCATCGCCGAATGGATTTTGAATATCGCCAGTGTCCAACGCTTTCAGAAGCCTTGTTAAACGTCTTCAATTTTTGGTAGTCCAACAACTAAACATCACGTTTCTTGGGATGTTTCAATCGCAAAGTGGAACTACTGGATAATAATTTCTTATCAAAGTAAAATTGCGACGCGCTAGACGCGCATTCAACGTAAAATATTAAATCGACTGCCATTCAATGGCTAACCTGTATTTTAAAATGTACATATTGTAATAGAAGAGATTTAATAAATGAATGTGCTTCTTTTAGCGACTTTCAGGAACTCTCCATAGAGCTTCCAAACCAATGAAATTCATTTTTTAGTTAATTCTAGCCTGTGGAAAATTTTCATGAATTTTAATGTCATAGAGATGTAAACAAAGCAAAAAAGAATCATGAGTAATCAATAATGTCGATGATATGTGACAATTGGGACCCTCTGTGGGAATACGTGTACCAAGGTGTATGCATGAGCTTGTGTGCCATGATATGTTAGGCCAGGCATGTCACAAATTTGCAGATATGTAGATATTTACAAAGCACAGAACAAAGACATACAGACACTTTGTTTTAAGCAGTGAGCTCTTTAAAAAAAATTGACTTGCAATATGACATGCATGCAAAAAGGCATGCATGCTGTTTGATATGCATGCAAAAAACTAGTCTGCAATGTGTCATGCATGCAGAAAGACATAGCTCTCAGAACATGCATACTGTGTATGACCAAAATGTACCTATTTCAAATATATGCACTCATCAAGCAATCATAGGGTAAGTGTGAGCATGATATCATGAAGTATTAATGTCAAGGCCTGAGTTATCTGCTAAAGCCAAAGGCAGATAACTCAGACATGAGGCTTGATAATTCATGATATCACGGGAAAACCAAATTCAATAACTTTTTTATTACACATTTTTAAACAATCTGCAAAAGAAAACACTGCTCTCTGAGTTTGCAAAAATTTTTTAACAATACATGGATGAGGGGCTGGGAAACTAGGCAAAATTTTAGCCTGACATGACAACCCAATATCTGTTGAAGATATTGGGTAATCACATCAAATTCACGGGCTATTGTATGATGACTTTATGTTCTTGACCAATCAGAGTTTTCATAGTATGTCTAGTGTATAATTATAATTATATTATTATTACATTGTGCATGCCTGAAATGCAATCAGAACCTCTTGCACTGGTTGATTCCCCATGATGATACAAAATTTCCTTTTTATTTGATATTTTTATGTTATTACTTGTTTTCAGATGTGCCCAAATACTATGCTCTGGGAAGTTTAATTGGTATACATGTAATAAGTATACCTGTCTACAGGGCATGGCAGCATCAGTAACCACAGCAAAGAAAGTAAGGGTGGTAGCCATTCATGACTTTGACCCACTGCAAGCTGATGCTATTTTAACACAAGACTGCCTCAAGAATCCACCCAGCATACAGGCTCAGTTACCATTATCCAGGGGTCAATGTCTTGAGATTCTGACCAAGAATATAAAATCTTGGTGGCTCTATGTAAGATGTGTTTTCAGCGAAAAGGAAGGATTCATACCAAGCACTTGTGTTGTTCCTTTGAGGGAGGATGTGGATGATGAGAAGTAAGTACAGTGTACAAAATTTGATGGTATTGTCTTTGCATTAGATAACTTTACAGGCCTGTGCTTGCCAAATCCCATCTCTTGATAGGTGAAGTAATCATTCAAGTTTCCCCTGCATTTCTATCTTGCTTGCCTGATGTTTTCCTTTCACCCCCAAACTGACTGAATACATCTTGCTGGAGGGTAATAACTTCAACAAGCCAATGGTTAACCCTTAAACCCCTAAGAGTGAATACTATCGAATTTCTCCTCACAATATCACCCCTGAATCAAACATTAAGGTTACAAGAATAAAGAAAATGACCATCAAATTAAGTAGCTCTTGATTATTAAACAAATTCCCCTTGTCAGCACCTTAGGGAGATTGTAGAGAACAGAATGGAGAATATGCAAACTGATGTTAGGGTGTAAATGGTTAAGTATCTATCTGGGAACCACAGCATAAGTTAAGGTGATTTTTTGGATTAGCTGAGATAAATTTTTTTTTAAAGTGGGCTTTAGGAACATTTGTAAGAAGCAAACTTTAAGAAACATTATAAGTCTGGTTGCCAACACTCGATGTTCAGTTACATGGGTGATTTTAGCTGGTCCAAGCTTGAAGGAAGAAGGTCTTTGATGTTATTTCTTTGATGATCAAACATAACTTGTGTTTCAGGCCAGCGAAATATTCTGGATTGTAAATAATGTGTTTAACCTTAAATTACGGAAATGTATTTTTTTATTGCAGGCTTCGTAATCTTGTTAATGGTGGCCAACTGTCATCCTCTCTGGTTAATAGACAGGTGGAATCAAAGTTCTTTCCAAATATCCTGAATGTTACTAATATATCCAGCAAAAAGATTGAATCAAGGAGGGTGAGTACACTCTTTTTCTTTCAATTTTCCTGTTGTTACTTGCAGTAAGCATGTAAGTGTAACACACAGTGGCCTGATGGTTAGTGTGCCAATGAATGTGGGATGAGAGGTCAGGGTTTGAGACCTGGCCAGGTCATTGCGATGGACCAGCTTCCCATTTTGAGGAGGAGTAATGATACACCTATTCCCGTCATATGAAGAAAACTAGGGATAAACTTCAGCTGGATCAGGGCCACTTGAATTGAATACAGACTGATGACTACATGTATGTACTTTGTTAAACCTAGACAGTAAGGTTTGATTTAGTGAAACTCATTTCAATTTTGTGGTGGGATTTACTGAAAGTCATTGGACACTGACTCACAACAATTAGTTAGGAATTTTTTTTTCAGATTTGTATGGCCCAATTTGTGGTCATCAACAGCCAGATACAAAGTGCCCATAAAGTTATTATTAACCCTTTAA